AGAATTCCGTCTTAAGGGTGGGATAAATTTGGATTGGATATAAAATTTAAAAAATAACTAAAAAAATTAATATTTTACATTTTAAGAGAGTGATAAAGTGACGCATCGGATATCGTTTCGTTGGCACGGCTCGCCCGATGACCACCACCAAAATACCGATCATCATCACTTCTGACCACCGCACGATCGCAGTAGCTTCTGACCACGCCATGCCGGTCATCATTGCTGGCCGAGCACAATAATGGGGGTAACTACAGATATGCGGACCAAGTACTAGTCGGCACACCTTTATTAACATATTGTGAGAATGTTGTTTCCAAAACGTTTGGAGCTGATAAGCTCAGGTAAGATGTTCAAACAGGAGAAATTGTATGAAGCGGCGGGGAGAGAGAGAGAGGAGAAGAAATTTATTGGTCTTCAAGAACTTGACCATTCAAGTCCAATATTAAATACCGTGGACTTAGGCCATGGATCCAAAATTGGATATTATAATGTGCATATCTTTGTTGGGTCCTTTTCTGCCTTCACCATTCTAGTTTTTAAGATTGCTGCTAACTGTGTTTTGTTTGTTCAATAACTCCAGCTTAACTTGTTCGTAGTTCTTTAAGGCACAGGATCAACGCCTTCGTTTCCACAGAGCAAGAATCGTCGGCCAAATACAGGAGGAGGCACGAGATAAAACACAAGGCGGACGACAGACATTAACGGCAGAGTCATCTTGAGCCAACGCATGAAATTTTCGATCGCCATCGAGAGCGGTCGAAGCGATGAAAGAGCGAAACTATGCCGAGCCTTTCTGTGGGGTCGCGTCGAGCTCCCTCGAGACGGTTGGCCTTCCCGTTCCATATCGAACGGAGGAAAACGAAATGCTTCTGGTTCAAGAGACAAAGGTGAAGAACACCAGTCACCGGCCAGAGACGGATCGATCTTTCAGATCTGGTTCAGCTCGTTTGGACAAGATTAGGGAGGTGCTGAAGCGAGGCGAAGCGACCCAGCTTAGAAGCTCGTGGACTCAAATGATGCGAGCACGGCACGGCCAGACATTGCTTCACCTGGCCATCGTGCAGGGTCAAGGCGACATCCTCCAATGCCTTTCGAATTCGTGTCCAACTTGGAGGCTTTATTATGAAAAAGATTGCAAGAATTATTGACCAAGAAAAGAAAAAAATTATTAAAAAATTTGCAAAAATTGTTTACGTCAGCGCCGATCGTACCATGTAGGACGGCCGGCATCCACGTCGGCGATTTTTGGCCAAAATCAGTTGGAATGACTGCATTAGCAAATCGTCAAAATGTTTAGAACTAAACTAGCTAAATTGAAAGGTTTGTGACTAAATTGATATCCTTTAGAATAACTTTAAGAATCTTTTTGGTAATTATCCCGAATTTTATACTTTTAAGGTTTTCTCGAACTTTGTCTCGAACTTCTATATATGTCAACTTATACCCTATTATTAGTACACATACTAACGTATGGAATTAAATGTGGCATTTCTAAGTAAGTCATATATATATATTGTGTAATGACTAGATATCTATCGAAAATCTATCGTTACATTCTCATTTTCCTTCACAAAAACACATGTTTCAATTCGATATAGGCTACGGAGCTGCTCCCACGTAACCTACTGAATCTTGCATGAGCGGTAGAGATACGATTGAGGAGTCGAGCCAATATAGTGTCAAACCGGAGCTCGACTCACATACTAGATGCTCGAAACTCTACACCCGAGCTTTGATTACGTCAAGTCCTGAGTTTCTTTCTTCGTTTGATTTTTAATCAGGGTTTTGTTTTTTCATTGCAAAGTATCAGAAGGATAACTCAAGACTTGCTTCTTTCTACCAAAACCAAGAAGGGCTCATCTCTTACGCGTTACAACATTAGAATATTAAATCACTCCTTCATGAAGCAGCTTAAAATTTTATATCAGTTGATTTTGGTCCCATTATAATCCACAGAGAATGGTCTTAAGTCAAAATTTTAGGATCCTTAGGCCAAATCCCAACCTAAGCGTGGGAATTTCCGCTTGGAATTAGGTGAAAAGGATGTGAATTCAGCTATATTTGATGTAGCCCGAAGCCACGACGACCCTCATATATATGCATTATAAATTCTCAAGATCGGTTCACAAATATATGTTAATTGATTGTTGTGACGACTTAGACATATAGACTTATTAAACAACTACATCTCAAAGAGAGAGCAAGCATAAGCAATCGACTTGTTCCCTCGATCTTCTCAAGAAAGTTAGAGAAAGCCAAGGCGGGGAAGAGAAAATCAAAGAGGAACAAAAAAAGACGGCACTTGCAAGGTTGCTAGGATATTTTAATCTCTCAGATCATCTCTCTCGCAACCTGACAAGATTCTGGGAAAACCTCCCTAACCACAAAACCATCAATTTATCGTCATTAATTGATAAATGCAAATATTAATTTATTTCAGATAATGTTGATACAAGGGATATTTCATCGCCATCAACGGAATATGATCTATGTGTTTACAGGTCGGATTGACCTCGATGAGGGATGGTACAAATTGATTGTGTAATAGAACAATTGCTTGTGTAACTTTCGTGTCGTTATGGTATTATAGTTGTCAAAACGAGAGGATTCATGTGATAGCTTGATTTTTTTGGATAATTCGGCATACCAAAAGTTTGGAGAAACTCCCACCACATATTGTGGTATTCTTCCCAAAATCATATATTTTTTTCTTTTTATCAAACTCCATATTTGACTGTGGGACAACTTTTTTTCCTATACGATGGATCTGCATAACAGAGCAGGATTATCTAAGTAAATCATTTTATTCTTCTTATGCTTTCAAGAAATTATATTGTAATCTACCTGATGCCATTTACTTTTATACTGGTTTTGAATCACGCTTGATTCCGAGGTTCGTGGGTATCACGCTCTAGTTGTCATCCTAAATAATTAGTTTGCCGAACTTTCGCGCGTGTTTTTATCTTCCTTTTAAGACATATCAAGTCGCCGATTTGATTGAATATTACACATCACCCGTTTAACTTAATAAAACTCTAATCAACTTCACGCAGGCTATTGAGGAAACGTAATTTCATTAGATAGTTACGAAAATTAAACAATACCATGGAATATCAATTTTGGAGGATGGTGTTGGTACGTTTTGCAAGCAATATAAAAGGTGAAATGGAATTGAACCTTTTTGCAAACTTCCAACAAAGCAATTCACATCTTATCCCTTCATTAACTAAACTGAACTTATCGAATGATTTCGCGAACTGCCGGTCGTTTCAAATTAAGGATAATGATATGGGTAATCTTTAAATTTCTTTTTCAATATTTAATGCGGTAGCTAAAAATTCTCCCCGCAACTTTCAAACGCCTTCCTACAGTTGAAAAGTCTAAAACCGTGTGCTGGTGGCCTTTTTTGAGATGTATTACGAAAATTCGAGATTCGTGCACAGCAAATTAAACGGCATTCTCTTTCCATTGACGTTGACATAGACTTGACCAAAACTCGTGTACTTATTATTCCCTCCGCCTTGTCCCCAGAAAGCTAGGGAAAGCCAAGGCGAGCAAAAAAGAGAGAACGAAGAGGAAAAGGCAGATGGCAATCCCAAGTTTGCCCGGAGATGTGGTCGCTCAAATCGTCTCTTTCACCACACCACAAGATGCTTGTACCATGTCGTCCGTCTCTACCAACTTCAGATCGATTGCAGATTCGGATCTAGCGTGGGCTAATTTCTTGCCTCCTGGCTGCGAGGACTTGATCCCTCACGTATCACCCAAGAAGGCTCTCCATCGCCATCTCTGCCATCATCCGGTCCTGATCGATGGCCGGAACGTGGTAAAGCTCGTTTTTCTTTGCAACTTGTTTGCAACTTGCAAGTGATTGTGGGGGTTATATAGTGATTCAAACTAGGGGATTCATGTGATGGTTTTGATCTCCAGTGATTTTGCATATTTGACTGGGGTGTCAACGTTTCTTTTCCCTATAAGGTGAATCTGCATAATAGAGCGGGATTCCAAGAATACCTGGGTTATAATTTAGGCTCCGTTCATTTGGCGAAAAACGTTTTTCGTGGGAAAATATTTTCCTTCCCCCCTCACAAAATAGCCTAAGTCTACGGAAAATGATTTCCGCTTCTTCAAAAGCGGAAATCATTTTCCGGAGCTTCTTCTTCTTCTTCACTAAGGTCGCCGGCCGCCGCCGCCGGTCGCCGGTCACCGGCCGCCGGACGCTGATACGATGGATTTGCATAATAGAGTAGGATTATCTAAGTAAATCATTTTATTCTTCTTAGGCTTTCAAGAAAATTATATTATAATCTATTTGATGCCATTTAATTAACCTGATTTTGAATCACGCATGATTTCGTGGTACATGGGTCTCATGCTCTAGTTGTCGTCCCAAATAATTAGTTTGCTGAACTTTCGCCCGTGTCTTTATCTTTCTTTCAAGACATATCAAGTCGCCTATTTGATTGAATGTTACACATTCTCCGTTTAACTCAATAAAACCTAATTAACTTCAAGCAGCCTATGAGGAATTATAAATGTAATTTCATTAAATAGTTAGGAAAATTAAACAATACCATGGACTATCAATTTTGGACGAGGATGGTGCTGGTACGTTTACAAGCAATATCAATGGTGAAATGGCATTGAACCTTTTTGCAAACTTCCAACAAAGTAATTCACATTTTATCCCTTCATTAATTAAATTGAACTTATTGAATGATTTCGCAAACTACTAATCATTTCAAACAAGGGATAATGATATGGGTAGTCCCTAAACTTCTTTTTCATTATTAAATGTAATCCTTAAACTTCTTCTTTTTTTCAATCTAGCCTAACAACTTTCAAACATCCACCCAATACAGTCCTTCCTTCCATTAAAAACTCTAAAGCCGTGTGGCGGCCTTGAGATGTATTATGAAATCTCGAGATTGGTGCATGGCAAATTAAATAATATTCTTCCAATGACTTTTACATAGACTTGATCAACTACTGTACTTATTCCCTCTACCTAGTCGAGAAAGTTAGTGAAAGCCAAGGCAAGCAAGAGAAAACGAAGAGAAAAGCAGATGGCATTTTCAAGGTTGTCCAGAGATGCAGTCGCTCAAATCATCTCTTTCATCCCATGGGATAATTTTATCCGGATTATATCCCTCCTATATTCGTCTTTACCTTTCTTAGACATGCATCAAACACAAGATAAGATAAAATATATCATATCCTGAATTTTATCCCGACTATCAAACGTAGTCTCCGGGTTTTGCTTTCTAACGACGGCCCTCTTTTGGGCTCTGCTGGCTAAGTTCAACCTATGATATAAATAAAATTTCTTCACGACCAAGAAAAGAAAAAAAAAAGATTCATTAATCCGCTTCCAATGACCTTGACATAGAGTCAAATTAAATACTCTACTTATTCCCTCGATCTCATCAAGAAAGTTAGCGAAAGCCAAGGCAAAGAAAGAGAGAACGAAGAGGAAAGAGAGTCAATTTTATCCGGATTATATCCCTCCTATATTCGTCTTTACCTTTCTTAGACATGCATCAAACACAAGATAAGATAAAATATATCATATCCTGAATTTTATCCCGACTATCAAACGTAGTCTCCGGGTTTTGCTTTCTAACGACGGCCCTCTTTTGGGCTCTGCTGGCTAAGTCCAACCTATGATATAAATAAAATTTCTTCACGACCAAGAAAAGAAAAAAAAAGATTCATTAATCCGCTTCCAATGACCTTGACATAGAGTCAAATTAAATACTCTACTTATTCCCTCGATCTCATCAAGAAAGTTAGCGAAAGCCAAGGCAAAGAAAGAGAGAACGAAGAGGAAAGAGAGTCAATTTTATCCGAATTATATCCCTCCTATATTCGTCTTTACCTTTCTTAGACAGGCATCAAACACAAGATAAGATAAAATATATCATATCCTGAATTCTATCCCGACTATCAAACGTAGTCTCCGGGTTTTGCTTTCTAACGACGGCCCTCTTTTGGGCTCTGCTGGCTAAGTCCAACCTATGATATAAATAAAATTTCTTCACGACCAAGAAAAGAAAAAAAAAGATTCATTAATCCGCTTCCAATGACCTTGACATAGAGTCAAATTAAATACTCTACTTATTCCCTCGATCTCATCAAGAAAGTTAGCGAAAGCCAAGGCAAAGAAAGAGAGAACGAAGAGGAAAAGCAGATGGCGTTTTCGAGGTTGTCTGAAGATGTAATCGCTCAAATCATCTCTCTCACCACTCCACAAGATGCTTGTACCATGTCGTCCGTCTCTACCAACTTCAGATCGATTGCAGATTCAGATCAAGTGTGGGCTAATTTCTTGCCTCCTGGCTGCGAGAACTTGATCCCTCAAATATCACCGAAAAAGGCTCTCTATCGCCATCTCTGCAATCATCCAGTCCCGATCGATGGCCGGAACGTGGTAAGCTTGTTTTCGAGAAATTGGTGGCTCGTGTGCACCTAGCGTGTGATTGTTGGTTACTGTAGTCATTGAACTAGAGGATATATTCATGTGAGGTGGGTTTGATTTTGAATGATTTCGCATAGAAAAGTTTGGAGAAGTTTCTACCACGTATGATCTAAGTGGGTAATTCTATTCTTCTTTGGTTTCCCCGAGAATTGGAGTATAGTTTGACCGGTGCCATTTGATTTAATCAGCTATCAAAATAAAGGCCATGAAGTGGTTATATCTCAGATGAATTGAGCTATGTATTATTTCAAACATCATTGACCATGTAATAGATTTTAGCAGACATTTGAGAAATCTTATCTAGCTTAAGAAGAAGACTGATTGATGAATGTTGATGAGGCCTAGATCGAACCAGGATTCATACGAGAATATTCTCAAAATATAAGAAAGGGGTTTCGTCATTGAATTTCACTGGCGAAATTATCTTGTGTAACTTCTGTTTGATGGAATTGTAAAGTAAAATTGATTTGCATGTAGCATATCTCGATGTCGACATACCCTCATTTTTGTTCAATAGATAGAAAAGTTAAATAGTACCATGAAGTATATTCATATTGGATGTTGGTTGGTGTTTTTAAAAGTAAGATCAAGGGTGAAATTGAACTTATTTGCAACTTTCAAGCGAGTAATTTGTAAATTCTTTTACGTTTTTTTTTTGGTCTAAAAATTCTTTAATGTTGTCAAGTAGAGTCTTTCACCGGATAAGAAGAGTGGCAAGAAATGTTTATGTTGGGAGCAAGAGGGGAAAATTACCAAAAAAGTCCTAAACTTTTTGTAATTGTGCCAATTCAGTCATAAACCTTTTTTTTTAGTCAATTCAGTCCTAAACCTTTTGCAATTATGCAAATTCAGTCCATCCGGCCATTTTTGGCCGGCCGGCGCTGACGTGGCCGCCGGCCGGAGTCCTCGTGGCAATATTTTAATATTTTTTTTTAATTATTTTCGAATTTTTTTCCTTTTTTCTTTTTTTTTCTTTTCCTTTTCCCCCTGGCCTGTCCGGCCAAGGGGGAGGCTCCCCGGCGAGGGCCAGGCTCCGGCGAGGCGAGCCGGGCCCTCGCCACCGCCGGGTGAGCTCCGCCTCGTGGAGCCGGGTGAGCTCGACTTGGCGGGCGAGCTCCGCCTCGCCCGCCAAGGCGAGCTCCGCATCGCCGGAGCCGGGCGAGCTTGCCATGGGCGGGCGAAGGCCCGGCTCGCCTTGGCCGGGCGAGCTCCGCCCTCGCCGGGAGCCGGGCGAGCTCTCCATGGCTAGGCGAGCTCCGCCTCGCCGGAGCCGGGCGAGGCTCGCCTAGCGGCGGTGAGGGCGGAGCTCGCCCGGCCATGGCGAGCCGGGCCTCGCCGCCGCGGGCGAGCCTCGCCCGGCTCCGGTGAGGCGGAGCTCGCCCAACGGCGGCGAGGGCCCAGCTCGCCTCGCCGGAGCTGGGCCCTTGCCGGCGAGCCTCCCCCCTGGCCGGACAGGCCAGGGGGGAGAAGGAAAAGAAAAAAAAAAGAAAAAAGGAAAAAAAATTCGAAAATAATAAAAAAATATTAAAATATTGCCACGTGGACGCCGGCCGGCGCCACGTCCACATCAGCGCCGGCCGGCCAAAAGTGGCCGGATGGACTGAACTGACACAATTGCAAAAGGTTTAGGACTGAATTGGCCAAAAAAAAAAAAGGTTTAGGACTGAATTGGCACAATTGCAAAAGGTTTAGGACTTTTTTGGTAATTTTCCCGAGCAAGAGACCTAACAATCGCATGGGGAGATGACCGGAATTATTGGAAATGGATAGCGATGTCGGAATCCAAGTCTTGTATGCTTTCTCTTCTTATCTCCGTCAACTGACTAACTTAAATTAGTAAAAATGCACTTTCCAAGATACTTATAATTTACTTCGAAAGATGTTTCGGGACACTCTTCATTATACTTCTAAGGGATAATGACACAAATGATCCCTGAATTTTTGCTCAATGTATAATGTGGTTTCTAAATTTTTAATTTGTTCAATATGATCCATGAACTTTATCTCAGGATATAATGTGGTCCCTGAATTTTTAATTTATTCAATGTGGTTCCCAAACTTTTGAATTATATGAAAATATTCAATATTGTCCATTACTTCAAGTTTAGGAACAATATTGAATATTTTCATATGGTCTAGAGACTAAACTGAACATGTACTAAAAATCTAGGGACCACATTGGATAAATTAAAAGTTCAGGGACGATGTTGCACATTAGGTTAAATTTTAGGGATCACATTGAGTAAATTAGAAGTTTAGGGACCACATTGCACATTGGACGAAAGTTTAGTGACTATTTATGTCATTTTCCTTACTCATAATGATAAATTCTTGGGCAGGTTTAATGAAGCGGCTCAGCTCCGGTATGTGTGGTGGTTTTACATCATTGGAAGAATCAAGACCTTTATGCTCTCATCCTGAACAAATTATGCAGCTTATTTCGTATTCCAGTTCAAAGGCCACAAGGACGGATTTGATCGACCAGTAAAGTCGCACGTCTGTATCGACAACGACGACCTCGATGAAGGGCAATCCGTGACGCTGGATCCTAAAGAAGGCGAACCTAGTGCGATCCGCGAACGTGCAGATAGATGGATGGAGATCAAGATGGATGAGTTCTACAATAAAAATGGAGATGATGGAACACTGGTGTGTAGTCTCAGGGAGGCTGTCAGATGCAAGAGCGGTCTCATTGTTGAAGGGATCGAACTTAGACCTACTGAAATGCTATAGATCGCAAGACGAACATGCGTCTTTTTGTCACGTGGATGTGGTGATTGCTCGTTCTAGTCATTTAGGTGTGTGCTTGTATCGACGATATACACTGCCTGCGCTCGAATCCAAGCTAATCTATGTAAAGAATTCTAAATAATTACGCTAAAAATTTTGTCTTTTACTCTATTAGATCATTGAGTCATGGTTGCATACAGTTAGTGGGATGGGACATATTATGACCTTCAGTTATGTTGGAAATCTCATAATTTAGAGCAATTCGTACGCCTTCTTTTTTAAAATTTCTTTATTCTTTAAAGAAATTGCTTGGAAGTTTCTTAAGAGTCGTTTCATGCATATAGTAATATCCGAAAATTTATTAATTTTAAATGTGGTCTAAAGCTTTTTCTAAAGGAAAGTAAGTCTAAATGTATTTTAGGAACTAAGTTTTTCGCATGGATTAGTAATTTTCTTTATTTGAAGCGTAAGTTGGTGATCAGTATTTTGCCACCATTTTTAGTAATTTTCTTTGAGTTAATAAGAAACTTTTTCTATTAAAAAAGTCATTTCTTCTATTTGTTAATTTTTTCATATTAGAAAATTTGCTTACCTCTTTGAAATTGGGCATCAAGACACAACTTCGTCTGTCAAGTGAAAATGATGAGTTGTGTCTGATGAAGGAATAGCCCTGAGATGCATCATAAAATCTTGAGATTGGTCACGAACAAATTAATTAATGAGATAAGCGCACCAAAAGTCCTATAGTTTGTTACGAAACTGTAATCGAGTCTTAAAACTTTTAAAAAGTGCAATCAATTTCTAGTCAAATTGATGCAATTAAGTCAAGCCTTTAGCTTCATCCAATTTGTATAACATAAAATGTTGATGTAGCAATTTCAATTGATTTTCAGCGTTGATGTGGCGCCACATCTAAAAAAAGCTTGAAAACCTTACAAAGAAAAACGAGAGGATTCATGTGATGGTTTGATTTTTTGAATAATTTGGCATACCAAAAGTTTGGATATACTCCCACCACATATCGTGGTATTCTTCCCAAAAATATGTAATTTTTCTTTTTATCAAATTTCGTGGGACAATTGTTTTTCCTATACGGTGAATTTGCATGACAGAGCATGATTATCTAAGTAAATCATTTTATTCTTCTTAGGCTTCCAAGAAAATTTTATTATAATCTATTTGATGTCATATAATTTATCCCAGGTTTAAATGATGCGTGATTCCGAGGTTGGTGGGTCTCATGTTCCGGTCGTCATCCTAAATAATTAGTTTGCCGAACTTTCGCACAAGTTTTTGTCTTTCTTTTAACACATATCAAGTCGCCTAAGTGATTGCATGTTATACACCCTCCATTTAACTCAACAAAACCTAATTAATTTCAGGCAGCCTACTTAGGAATTCTAAATATAATTTCATTAAATAGTTAGGAAAATTACACAATACCATGAACTATCAATTATGGAGGTTGGTGTTGGTACGTTTGCAAGCAATATTAATGGTGAAATGGTGTTGAACTTATTTGCAATTTGCAAGAATTTTTTCCCTTCATTAATTAAATTGAACTGATTGAATGATTTCGCGAACAATTGGTCATTTCAAACTAGGGATAATGATATGGGTAGTCCCTAAACTTCTTTTTCATTGTTCAATATGGTCCATAAATCTTCTTTGTTTTTCAATTTGGTCCTTGAACTTTCAAACATCTACCCAGTACAGTCCTTCCCTTGAAAACTCTAAAACAGTTAACCGGGGAAGGAGTAGCCTGGAGATGAATTACAAAATCTCTAAAACCGTAAGACTTTTGGCATGCTGAGAAAGGTTCCAAACCTTCATGGAGTTGGCAAAGTCTTCTTTTGGGAAGAGATGCGATATCAAACTCAGTGATCTGGTCTATTGGAAACGGAGAATAGGTCAGCATTAGAACAGACAAGTGGCTGAAGAGGGGACTAATCGGGGGACCAGCGAATAGAAACGATCCGCAACCAGTCTCGGGGTTGATGAATTTTGAAAACAAACATTGGAATGAACAGCTTCTTGACAATCTGTTTGACGAACAAACGACACAAGAAATCCTTGCTATTCCAATCAAGTGTCATCACATAGATGAACTGGTGAGGGCATTTGTGGTCACCGAGGGCGCGATGCCCTCGTCGGCCAAGGTTTGGAAAAAAAATAAGGAAGGAAAAAGAAAAGAAAAGAAAAATTAATTAAAAATTCAAAAA